TATCCAACTAGCTTAGTCTCGGTCTTAGAACTACAGTATTCAAACAGGCAGAAAAACAATAAGGAGATAAGCACTTGAGCAAGAGTATAAATCAAACGAACTTAACATACATCAAAGAACACTCAATAGCACAGTATCCATTCTTCTAAAGGGCAGACGGAGCCGTCTCCAGAACAGATCAGGTCGGCCACATCACAAGCCTCAGTAGGTTGAAAAGGATTCAGATCATACAAAGTATGTTCAGCCATGACACATAAAATTAGAAATCAATGACAGGACTAAACTTGGGAAATTCACAAATATATAATAATTAAACAATATACCCTCAATAATTCAAATAAGATATTGCAAGGGCAATAGGAAATAGTTTGAATGAAAAAAAAAATACAACACACTATGGGATGCAACTATAGAAGTGGAAAAGAGGGAAAACCTATAGATGCAAAGGCTTATATTAAAGAAAGAAAGAAAGAAAGAAAAAAGATCTCAAATCAATACTGTAACTATCTTAGGAAACCAGAAAGGGAAGAACCATGTAAACTTCAATCAAGAAGGAAGGAGGATTAGAGCAGGAATAAAAGAAATATAAAATAAAGACAAATATAGAATACTAAACATAGCAACTTAGTGAGACCCTGCCTCAGAAAAAGTAAAAAGTAAAAAGGGCTGGACTTATAGCTGGGTTTAATCTCTAGTACTGCAAAAAGTTTGAATAAATAAATAATGAAAGAGAGGACATCACTACTGACCACATATAAATAAAAAGGACTACAAGGGTTCTAAACAAATATGCCAACAAAAATAGGTAATTTAGATGAAAACAGACAACCTGAGAAAAACACAGACTATCAAAATTTACTCATAGAAAAACCATCTGTCCTCACTGGTATATTGAAATAAGAATTAATACCAATCCTTCACAAATTCTTGCAACAAATAAAATAGGAAGGAACACTTCCAACTATGGTGTCAGTTTTATTCTAATACCAAAATCACAGATATCACAAGAAAACTACTGACCAATGTCTCTTATTAACACAGACACAAAGGTCACAAACAAAATACTAACAAACAGAATCTAGCAACATACAAAAAGGATCTCACCATGTCCAAAAGGGATTTGACCAGGAATCTAGGCTTTGCTTTCTGGTTTTTAAAATTTTTTTTATTTTTTGGTAGCAGGGATCAAATAGGGACCTTGTGCTTTTGAGGCAGGTGGTGGCACCACTGAGCTAAATCCCTGGCCCTAAGAATCTAGACTTTGCTTAACACTGAAAAACCAATTAATGTAATGTACTATATAGATAGAATAAAGACAATCACCTCAACAGATAAAAAAAAATTTTTTTCCAGTACCGAAAATTGAACTCAGGACCTTGCCACTTGCCAGGCAGGCACAGTGCAAGAAAAAACTTTTTACGAACTCCATCACCCTTTATGATAAAACCATTTTGCAAACTAGAAACAGAAGACAACTTCCTCAACTTGACAAAGAGCATCTATGAAAAATTACAACTAACATCATACTTAATGGTGTAACACAAAATATTTTTTCTAGAAGATCAGAAACAAGACAAACATGTCTACTTTTCTTTTCAGTTTTAGAGATTGAACCTAGTGCCTCACACATGGTAGGCAAGCACTCAACCACTGAGCCACACCCCCTACCCGTGTTATTTTGTTACAAGGGAGAGTCTCATTTAGTTGCCCAGGCTGGCCTCACACTTGGAAGCCTCCTGCCTTAGCCTCCTGAGTAGTTGGGATTACACAGGTGTGGCATGGCCAGCAGGAGTTACCCTCTTATGACTTCTATTCGGTGCTTTATTGGAGGTTCTAGCAAGGCAAGTAAGGAAGAAAAAGAAACAGTATACAAATTGGGAACCAAGAAATAAAACTATCTCTATCACAGATGACATGATCTTAAGATCTAGAAGGAATATACTAAGAAATCATTAGAACCAATAAACAAGTTCAGCAAAGTTGTAGAATACAACATCAATATACAAAATGAATTGTATTTTTATATACTAGCAATAAACAATCAAAAATGAAAATTTAAAATGATTCTATGTATACTAGCATAAAAATAAAATAATAATAATAAACTTAGAAATAGGAGGCACAGTGGCAGATGCCTATAGTCCCAGTATTTTGGTTGGCTGGGTCAGGAGGATGGCAAATTCAAGTCTAGCCTGGGCAATTTAGTGACTTAGTGATAACCTGTCTCAAAATTAAAAAAAAATTTAAACATGCTCAATGTGAAAGCCTTGAGTTCAACCCTTCAGTACTGTAAAAGAAAGAATGAAAGACAGGAAAAAAGAAAAAAGAAAGTCATTTAACAAAAGTTCAAGATTTGTACATTAAAAATTAAAAGATATCACTGAAAGAAATTAAAGAAGATGTAAAAAATGGGAGGATAGGTCATATTCACAGATTGGAAAACTTAATATTCTTATGATAGCAATATTCTCCAAACAGATACATGGATTTAATGTTATCCTGGCCTTTTGCTGTTGTTGTTGTTGTTGCAGAAATTGATATATATTGATCCTTAAATTCACATGGAAATGCAAGGGAGCCATAGTAGCCAAAACAATCTTGAAAAGAAGAGCAAAGTTGGAGGCCTCGTGTTTCCCATTTCCAAAACTTACTGCAAAGCTACAGTTATTATGACTATGAAGCACTGGCAGAAAGGTAGCCAGAAAGATAGTGGAATTGAATAGTGAGTTCATTCATAAACCCTTACATTTAAGCAGAATAATACCTGCGCCCCTCCCCTACAAAAAAGTTCACTTTTAACCCCTGGAATGTATGATATGTTATGCTACAGGGGAAGGAGAAAGTAGGGTTGCTAATGAACTGACTTTAAAATAGATTATCCTAGGGGCCAGGGATTTAGCTCAGTGGTTTTGCTGCCTGCTGCGCAAGCACAAGGACCCAAGTTCGATCCCCGGTACCAAAAAACCCCACAAAAAACCAAACAAACAAAAAAACCCAAAAATTAACCCAAAATGGATCATAAGTTGTTAAAGAAAAAATATTCAATGATTCTTCTTAAAACACAGTCAAGAAGACTGTAATCAGGACTATATATATTATATATGAATAGGGAACACTGTTTCGGGGTCTTGCAGTGAGGGAGGGAGGCGGGACTCAATTCTCAATGTACCAAGTGGGAATTTAGAGCCAAGAAGCTGTGTCAGGGTCAGTAGAGGGAAGATTATAAGAGGAAAAAGCAGGGAGAGGGCATTCTGGTTAAACCAACCCGCCCAGCTTGTTGCTGAAGACCGCAGGACCAGACGTCACCTGGGAGATGGTGGAGGCAGAGAAATCCAGATCAAATATTAAGGATGATCAGATATTAAGAATGGGTGATTCTCGCCCAGATGAGGTGGTGCACACCTTTAACCACAGTGCTCTTGGGGGCTGAAGCAGAAGGAACTCAAATTCAATCCCAACCTAGGCAACTCAGCAACTCAGCAAGACTCTGTCTCAAAATAAAAAAAATAAAGGGCTGAGGATTTAGCTCAGTGGTTCTGCCGCCTGCCTGCAAGCGCAAGGTCCTGAGTTCCATCCCCCCCATACCAAAAAATAGATAAATAAATAAAGGGCTGGGGATGTAGCTTGGTGCGAAGGCCTGGGGTTCAACCCCTAGTAGTGTGTGACTGCACGCGCGCACGCACACACACACACACACATACTAATAATAAATAAAATAAAAACTCATGCATCAAAAGAGACCATCAAAAGTGTAAACAGAGAGCCAGGGATTTAGCTCAGTGGTTTTGCCGCCTGCTGAGCAAGCGCAAGGACCCGAGTTCAATCCCTGGTACCAAAAAAAAAAGAGTGTAAACAGATAACCCACAGAATCAGAGAAAATCTTTGTAAGTCATGTATCTGATAAGGTACACATTTCCAGAACATATAAGAAACTCTTAAAATTCAACATAAGACAAAAAGCTAAAAGATGTGCCAATGATTTGAATGGAAAAGGCTTACCAGCACATGAAAAATGTATATTAGTCATCTAGAAAATGTAAACCAAAACCACAGTGTGATACTATTTCACTATGGTACCGGGGATTTAACCCAGGACCTTTGCACTGAGCTCTATCCCCAGACCTTTAAAAAATTTTGAGTTTCATTAAACCACTGGGGTTGAACCTGTGATCCTCCTGCCTCAGCCTCCCAGAGTACTGGGGTTATAGGTATATGCCATCACACCTGGCAATGATACAACCAGTCTGAGAGAGTTTGGTAGTTCTGCAACATGTTAAATACAGATACATCATTTGACTTAACAATTTTATTCCCAGGTATCTACTCAAGATAAATGAAAATCTATGTCTACACAAAACATGTACAAGAATGTTCACAGCAGCATTATTCACAATTGCCAAAAAAGAAGAAACAGCCAAAATATCTGTCAAATAAAGAGTGGATAAAGAAAGGAATGGCTGGGCCGGATTTAGCTCGGTGGTTTCGCTGCCTGCTGTGCAAGCACAAAGACCGGAGTTTGATCCCCAGTACCAAAAAAAAAAAGAAAGGAATGGCTTCTGGGAATTTAGCTCAGCGGCAATGCACCTGCCTTGCAAGCGAAGGGTCTTGAGTTTGATCCCTGGTAGCACCACCCCCCCAAAAAAAAGAAAGAAAAGAAAAGAATGGCCTAGTCATACAAAGGGATATTATTTAGCATAAAAAGGAACAAAGTTATGATACATAGTACTAACGAATGAATCTTTCAAACACAAGAGACCACTTACATGAAACATTTAGATTATGTAAATCCATAGAAAGTGGATTTATGGTTTCCAGAGGCTGAGGGGAAGTAGAGAATGGTGAGTGACTGCTCATGGATACAAAATTGGGGGTGGGGGGGCAGGGCAGAAAAACATTCTAAAATTAGATTGTGCAGATAGTTGTACAATCCTATGAGTATAGGACTGTACAAGAACACAACGAGGGCTGGGGATTTAGCTCAGTGGTTCTGCTGCTTGCCTTGCAAGCGCAAGGACCCAAGTTCAATCCGTGGTACCAAAAAAAAGAACACACCGAATTGGAACACATTAAATAGGTGGATTGTATGGTTTGCAAATTATATCTCAATAAAGGTGCTAGGAAACAGTTATAAAGCACATAAATACATCCCAAGGTGGGGAAAGGTGTGCAACATGACCCACTCTTTGGAAAGCAGAGGCCGTCTAGGTCCTAAAGGTGAAACTGAGGCATTCAACAGTTCTGCTTGCTTCACAGTTTTGTCACAGACCAGCCTTCACATGGCCCCTGACAGAAGGCCCCAGGCGAGACTCCGTGACGTCAGCATCTGACCTCTATGACACAGGCTCTCGCAGCCCCAGGAAATGGGGCCCTCCGCTCCCGCTGAGGGTGGCAAGGCTGCCCCTTAGACCAAGTCTCAGTCTCAGAGGCTTTTTCCTGCTGACCCCACTGCTGCCGTGGCTGCTGGGTGTGACACGCCATCTCGGCCAGGGCCTGACCAATCTAGAGGACCTCAGCATTAGGGGGGACAGGTGGTCAGGGGACCAGTGACCAGAATCCAGGAGTCGGGATTAGGAGGCCAAACCCGGGTCACACAGAGGGCCTCTGGCTGGCTGCAGGGGGCCGAGGACAACTCAGACAGAATCGGGTCAGGGTGAGTTCGGGACAGACGCTGGGGGAGAGGGAGGTGTAGTCACTGCTTGATGGCGGCTCCTCTCTCTCTCAGGTCCCCTCTTGGGCCAGTGCTGTGAAACAGAAACGTGGGGGACCCTCATTATGAGAACTCACAGCACCTCTAGAACCCCTTCCCCTTCCCCTGCCCCTGCCCATCCCAACCCCCTCCTCTAACTCCTTCCTTCTCTTTTCCTGCTCTCACCTCCCCTGGAACGGTTTGCAGGTGCAAAGGTTTTGGGGTTTAGAGAGTTGTCTCGAAACTGGCTCTGGGCAGAGCCAGAGGTGGGCCGCTCTTCCCACTCCTGGGTGCTGTCTCTCTCTGCAGGTCCTGGGGCCCTGTCTCCTTCTCAGTGCCATCCAGATAATCACCGCCACCCCTCAGCTCCCAAGAGGCAGCTCTGACTCTGCGATCCTATGTATGCTTCATCAGCAGCTGACGCAAAGATGTGAGAGACGCAAAGAGGCTTGGACTGAGGCTCCCACCTGAGCGCTCTGAGAGCTCAGCAGAACCTCACACCATGAGGCCGGTGCCTCCTTGGCCTACGCCACTGCCACGGGCAGCAACCTCACCTGGAGCCCCATGCCTGCCAGAAGACCGCCTTGATATCCTGACTCTGCTAGGTTTCTAATCCCTGTGTTGTCACCCAGTTCCTTCCAGAATCAAGGCAATGTTGCCTCAAAACCAGGACCAGTTGCTGCTACAGAACACATTTTCTCCTGCGTGTCCCGCTTGGGGCCTCTCACAGCTAGTGGACTCCCCTAGCCCCAACCTCCGACCTCGCTCTCAGCATCAGTCTCTCCCTTCCCCCTACCCACCGCTCTCCTCTTCCCCAAAGTCCCAACCCCCGTTCTCCTTTCCTCCATGGGCCCCTCTTCCAGCCCCCCTTCTACTCTTCCGATGCTAATCCTGACTTAGCTCCACACTTCTATTCTCTCCCAAGTCCCCCCGCATTTTTTCAGCAGAGTCACCCTTACATCTGCCTTCCACATAGCTCTTGTCCCTCAAACCACTGCTGGCTGTACCGCTCCTCTTCCCCAATCCTCCTCTCCTTCCCAGCCTCCGAAGCCCTCTCCCTGCCCCCACAGCCGGTTTCCTGGCCACCCTGAAGACCTCCCTAGCTCCTGGCTCATGTCCCCCAGCCCCGGCCTCGCTTCTCCAGGGGTCTGCTGTAATAGGCAGGCTTGGCACTGGTACGGGGCATCGGGTCCCCTGGGGTGGTAGCGGGATGTGTGCCAGGCAAGAGGAACCCTGCAGAGTTCAGGGACCCAGGGGCCCTGGTGGCCCACCTGGGGCTGTGCTGCATCGCGCACGACCTGCAGCTACTACTTTTGCGGCAGGTTTTTCTCAGCAGAACCAGCCGGGCCCCCATTGTGGAATATCCCATATGCCTGGTGTGCCTCCAGCCCCGAAGGCCTTCTTGTCCTATCCCCAGGTACAGAACTGGACCCCGGCCGCTTGCCTTCCCTGAACTACTGCCCTGCGCTCCTGGCCAGGAATCTGGGCCACTCCGAATGGCCATCGGCTTTGGCCTCCACCTGGCTGTGGGCTAGGCCAGGGCCTTGAATCTGTTGCCAAAAAGAAGGCCAGAGGAAGTAGGGCCTCAGGGCAAGGCCACTCAGTCCCCTCCGGGTCAGGCACCAGCAGCCCACATCCCAGGGGCTCAGGGCCAGGCAGACCCAGCCCCAGGCACACACTCCCAGGCCAGGAGCCTCAGGTCTGCAGGTCTTCAAACACCAGACTCCACCCACGGAAGCTCAGGGCCTCCACCTCAGGCCCCAAAGCCCAGGCTTTCTCCAGCCCTAAACTGGCCTGCCAGTCCAGAGCCTTTTCTCCAAAAATTCCCATCCTAGTTCCAGAACTACGGAGGATCCCTGGAACTCCCCCTCCAGACCGTAGCCTCTCCACCAGGCCCCAGAGCTCAGGGAGCCCCCGAGACACCCTAAGGGCTGGCCGGCCGGAGGTCAGGTATGTTCTCCTGTCCTGAACCCTGGAAACCCCCTGTGGAGTCTTCTCTCCCCTGGCTGAAGAGGACTTAAGGGCACTGGAGGCCTCATTCAGCCTTCAGTATATCCAATAAAGCTTGACCCTGTAAACCTTCTGTCTGTGTCCTGCTGGGCCCACAGAATTCATGGCTACAGCTACAAGGGTGCTAGTCTCCAACAAGGCACCTGGGGTGGGGTGTCAGGAAACAGAGGGGCTTGGGACAGCAGACGCCCTGTATCCAGGAGGGAAAGGAACCCATAAGGCCCTAGGACCTGAGGTACACAAGGGCTCAGCCAGGCCCTTATGGTTTAATTCCGTTTTGTGGGACAGACACTGGTGTCCCCAAAGATGAAGCCACAGGGCCTGAGGGTACTGAAGATACTGCAGCCCTTGTGTCTTTACAGGGATTTCTAGTGCTTATCTGTAGGGAATCAAGGGGACTCAAGCACAGATCAGAAACCCCAAGATCCCCACAGGACCGTGGGGTGTCAGGGACAGAAGACATCTGTCAGGGAACCTGAGATATTTCCTAGGTTGTCAGAGGGTAGTGGCTGCCACCCATAAGCTGCAGTTGCATGAGTGGAAATGTGAAACCACTAGAAGGAAATGGTGGACTCTGCCAACATAAAGGATAGGTGTTGTATTAAGGTGGAGTGTGGTTTCTTTATACGGTAAAAAAATACTTTAGTTAGCTTATGAGTCAGGCAGCTAGTAGTGGAAGGGCCTGAGTTAGAGTTGGCCGACAAGCCATATTGATAAAAATTAAGAATAGATAGTGAACTGGGACTTTGGACAAAGAATGAACTTCCTCAGGCAATATGGGACACAGCCCAGTCCCTACTAAAGCCATTCCTAAGTTCCTGAATTTCAAGGAAATTACAATGCAAGTTAACCAGTTTTTCTAAGGTCCAGGTACTAGCAAACCCTGAAGTTGAAGAACTGGGTTGAAAGTGTGGGGTCCAATTGGTCATTTTTAAATCCACAGAGGGACTTCTGATAGGTGGCCACTAAAGAAATAAGCAATTCCTGTGCTTTTATCTATAATTTAATTATCTCTGACTGGGGCAGGAGTGGGGGTTCTATTTGGGATCTCTCCTGAAAATCTAGGAGCTATTCTGTTCTGTATTTTCAATAAAAACTCTGCTAACGTCCTCCTTCGCTTCAAGACTTGTTCCTTGTCACTAGCAGAACCACAAGCCTGGTACTCATGGTATCAATACAGTATTAGGAAACTGGATCTGGGATTTGACACCAGGTTCATTCTGAATCCATGCTGCCTTGTTTCAGGAGCTGCAGGTTGTTTCAGGTACTGTATGTGACCTTGGACCAATCGCTTCCTCTCAAGTGCAAAGGTTGCCCTTTTATCAGTTGGCTCATCACTCCTGAGTGGGACTGCTCTAATTTTAGGACTTATTAAATTTATGGAAGTCTGATTTGGTTGCACACGCCTGTAATCTGGGAGGTTGAGGCAGGAGGATCGACAAGTTTAAATCTAGCATGGCCAATTCAGGAAGACCCTGTCTCAAAATAAGGGGGCGGGGGTACTGGGAACATAGCTCAGGGCGACCCCCACTACCGAAAAATAAAACAAAATTTTTAAAAGGGGCTGGGGAGGTAACCCAATGTGAAGGCCCTGGGTTCAATTACAAAGAAACTAACACTCAACATTCCTTCAACGCTACTAAGTAGCTCCACCTCCCACCCTCCCCAAGCAAAGAGGGCGTGTCTGACGTCACAAAGGGCGGAGAAGCGGATTCGGCTCCAGGGCTCCGAGGCCCGCCACCGCTGACGCGTATCGGCGTCCTGCGCCTGCGTGGAGTGCCGCGAGAGGGAGGCGCGTGCGCTGTACGCTCCTTGGAAACCAAGTCGGACAGCTTGGGACCGAGACGCGGGTGTCTGCGGGTGGTTGGAGTTGTAGCGACCCAGCGGGAGTGAGAGGGGTCCCGGCGGCGACGGGACAAGTTCAGCAACGGCTGGGACAGTGAACGCGCGGCGGGCGGGATGGGCCGGCGCCAGGCTCCGGACCTGTACCGGGCCCCGTTCCCCTTGTACGCGCTTCGGGTGGACCCCAGCGCGGGGCTGCTCATCGTGGCGGGCGGAGGAGGCGCCGCCAAGACCGGCGTAAAAAATGGAGTGGTGAGAGAGCGGGGCCACCGGGGCCAGGACGCAGTGCGGGCTGAGGGCGATTCCGGGTGGACGGGGTGGCAGGGTGAGCCGCACCCCAGCTTCGGGTCCTGCCCATCTCCAGTAAGGGACACCCGGCTTGGCAGGCGCCAGGGTGCGGAGAGTGGCTGAGGCACTCCTGAGTTAGAGCAGCACACCGGCCGCGTAGGTAGGAACGCCTAAGCCCGACCTCGGGAGCAGCTCTAGGGGCTTGTCCTGCTGTCTGCCCTCTAGCAGCGGAGACTGGTGCATTTGGCCCTTAGGCTAGGTTCTTTCAGTGTTCCGAGCTTCATCCTGGCGATCTATAAACCGGAGGGTAATAATCCCTGCTTCCTGTACAGATTGGGGACCAAATGAAAGGAGGCTTGAGACAGCCCTGTGAACTAGAAATGTGCAGTAAGCTAAGGGATAAAGCATCAGATTAGGAGGTGAGTTTGCCTTGGCCTGGTCTCTCTGCACCCCTGAACTTTGCCCCTCTTTGTTGCCTCTCACAGCATTTTCTGCAGCTAGAACAGATTGATGGGCGCCTGAGCGCCTCTTTGCTGCACTCTCATGACACAGAGACACGGGCCACCATGAACCTGGCACTGGCTGGTGACATCCTTGCTGCAGGGCAGGATGCTCACTGTCAGCTCCTGCGCTTCCGGCCCCATCAGCAGAAGGGCAACAAGGCAGAGAGGGCAGGTGAGAAGCTTTCGGGGAAAGGATTAAATGCATAAGACCATTTGTCTTGGTCTGAAGAACTGGGACAGGAAGTGGGGTCTTGGTGGCAGCTACACGCTGGATACACACCTGCCCTGTAGAAAGGGACCAGTACTACTACATGTGGAAGACTGGCCCCTGGCAAACTGTTTGTGTTCCAGGTTCCAAGGAGCAAGGACCTCAATCAAGAAAGGGGGCAGCCCCAGCAGAGAAGAAATGGGGAGCTGAAACCCAACGAGACGGGGTAGAGCTCAAAGTAGAGAACCTGCAGGCGGTGCAGACAGACTTTGGCCTGCAGAAAGATATACTGCAAAAAGTTGTGTGCTTCAACCATGATAATACCATGATTGCCACTGGAGGGACAGATGGCCATGTTCGTGTCTGGAAGGTATGGTTTTAGGGGTCAGGAAAGATACATGTCAATACAAAAAGTGTGAATGTGAGACTCTGAACTTGAGTTCTGGGAAACTTGTGAGTGGCCATTCGATGAGAAAAGAAGTGTGGGAATCATGGTGCTCTTGCTGCAGTCCTGGTCTAACCATGGTGTGGTGGTGGCCTGGCTTGTAGGTTCCCAGCCTGGAGAAGGTTCTGGAGTTCAGAGCTCATGAAGATGAGATTGAAGACCTGTCTTTGGGGCCTGATGGCAAGGTGAGGAGGTGGGTTATGGGAAGGGGGTGCAGGAAAGAAAAAGGAGGTGCTAGTGCTGTCTGTGTAGTAAATAGGTCCCCCAACCGTCCATCTCTGGGATCTTTATTCCCGACTAGCTGGTAACTGTGGGCCGGGACCGTAAGGCCTTTGTGTGGCAAAAGGATCAGCTAGTAACACAGCTGCACTGGGAAGAGAACGGACCCAACTTTGCTAACACACCTTACCGCTACCGGGCCTGCAGGTATGAAGACCCATGGGCTGATTAAAAGAGGCACAGCCCAGCTGTGACAGGGGAGTGGAACGAACGAGGGGAGGGTGGGCTGGGGAGGACTGTGGTCTTGTTGGTGTCACCCCAGGCCTCACCAGGGTGCAGCAGGGGAGAAACTTCTGAGAAAGGCTGGGCAGGACCCTGGAGCTGAACAGCCCTGCACCCGGTCCCCAGGTTTGGGCAGGTTCCAGACCAGCCCACTGGGCTGCGACTCTTCACAGTGCAGATCCCCTACAAGCACCTGCAGCAGCGCCCACCCTGCTACCTCACAGCCTGGGATGCTTCCACTTTCCTGCCCCTTCGGACTAAGTCCTGTGGCCATGAAGCCGTCTCCTGCCTCAGTGTCAGGTGGGGGACAGTGTGGGCTCGGCTGGGTGGAGGGCACCTGGGGGAGCCTGGGAAGGAGTCCTGCCCAAGTGCCCAAGGACAGCTTCTGGTAAGTGAAGGTGGCTGCATGGGCTTCTAGGACGGTGAACACTTTGTTGTTTGTTGCAGTGAATCGGGCACCTTCCTAGGCCTGGGCACAGTCACTGGCTCTGTTGCCATCTACATAGCTTTCTCTCTCCAGGTAATGGGTAGAGGTGGGAGGCCTGCACGCCTGCAGAGCATTTTCAGAAAGTTTCCAGTTGGGCCCTCCCTTACTAGTTTCCTTCCTGCCCTCAGCGCCTCTATTATGTGAGGGAGTCTCATAGCTTTGTGGTGACAGATGTGGCCTTTCTACCTGAGAAGGGTCGTGGACCACAGCTGCTCGGGTCCCACGAAACTGCCTTGTTCTCTGTGGCTGCAGATAGTCGTTGCCGGCTGCACCTCCTGCCCTCACGCCGTGAGTAGTTGGGGTGGGGGCTGCCGCCCCTTTACCACCTTTAGCTGTAGCGAACATGCAGCCCTGGAGAGCAGCTTGCGGGTTCACAGCCAGCCCTCTGCCCCTCCTTAAACAGAACGGGTTGAGGGCTCTGGTCTCCAGGCTGTGAACCCCCTCTGTGGCTCACTTCTTTTACCCTTCCCGCAGGGAGTGTTCCTGTGTGGCTGCTGCTCCTGCTATGTGTTGGGCTTATCATTGTGACCATCCTGCTGCTCCAGAGTGCCTTTCCAGGTTTTATTTAGCCTTCCTGCTCTCGGGAATCTGGCCGGGACATTGCCACCGCCTAGAGGAGAATGGAGGCCTGGACTCCTACTGCTCATTCCACTTGGCCCCACTTGCCTCTGATGAGGGGCACAGCTACAGCCTGGCCTTCTCAGTTAAGGCTTGGCTGTGTCTGTGCATGACTCTGGGTCCTGGGAGCCCCATATTCGTCACCTGTGGATCTACCCAGGACAGCAGTGTTTGAAGCCAGACCACACTACCTTCCCCCTTCCCTTTGCCCAGCAGGGGCTCCAAAGCTGAGCGTGTCCTTCATCAGAAACATGAAGATGTCCAAGAGCCTGGAGGCACTGCTGACCTTCCTGCAGAAACAATCAGTTTCTCCTCCTCCCCTCACAGTCTTCACATGAAGCCCCTTGGCTTTTGCTGGCTTTTTGCTGTTAGGGTATAAAGGGGCAAAAAAGAAGACTCAGGTAGTAGTCTGTGGGTTCAGATGGGTCGCACCAGTCCAACCAGACTAAATACACAGTAAGGCCCTGGATCACCTACCCCAGACTCGAGGAAAGGGAAAATGAACCTCAGTCCATTAGACAGGAAGGGTTGATATTTAATAAACAAGGGGAGACTGAACTGAGACCCCAAATGGTATACTTGTCAGCTCTTTCTGTCCCCAGAGGTGAGTGGCTTGAGCTCAAGCAGGTCCTCTGGGTGCTGGAAGATGGCTCTGGCATACTGGTGCAAGAGGCGGCTCATGTAACAGTGCTGCCAGGGCAGCAGCCCTTCCAGGAAGCCGATGTGACCACCCCGAGCTGTGATGAGCAGTGCAACATGGGGAGAGTGTTGGGCAGCCTGTAGGGGAAAGGCTGGGAGGGGGTCAGAGAGGAGGTCAGGAACCTGGCCCCTGATAGGAACCCAGGCTCTCTCCACTTGTACCTCATGGTCCACTTTCCAGGGCCCAAGGCCTCCTGACTCAGGGTACTCACCATGAACTGGGGAGAAGGGGTCATCTGCTGCATTGAGGCAGAGCACAGGGAGCTGGATGGCATCTACCTTGTTTTTGGGGCTTGATGCTTGGTAGTAGGCAACCCAGTCTTGATACCCAAAGGCTACAGATGTGTAGCGTGCATCGAGCTGGCGGATTGTGCGGGCCTGTGTGGTACAGGTAGTATAGTCTAAGATAATAAAGAGCAAGCAGGAAGACAGTGGGAGACATACTGGGGCGGGGAGATGGTGGAAGATTCTACCTGTAGGACAAAGTCCACATCCACCAACTTTTCAATCATCTTTCTATTTCTGGAAGAAAGTACATCAAGGTTGGTATGGACTCCTGCATCTGACCCAAAGCCCACAGCCTGTACTACATGAGAAAGCCCGGGTGACAGCATAGCTGATTGCTGGGCGAGCCTACCTGCTTCCACTGGCCAAGGTCCATCCTACCTGTCCACAAACCGGCAGAGTGAAGCAGTGAGGTGCTTGTTGAAGAGCAGTGAGTTCAAGGGGGTCTCCAGGGAGCGGGCTGTCTCGAAGGAATCCCAGCATACAGACAGAGTCAGTCCTGCCACCAGGCCTGCAGCCTTCCCTGTCCGTGCCAGATAGTTCAGCAACAGTATCCTGCAAGATTGGGCAAGAAGTCACAAGAGAAGCGTTTGCATGAGTGAGTCAGGAGGAGGACAGGACATGGAGGAAGAAAGGAAGGAAGGCTGGGCTCTGGGTTAAGCCTGGGCCACCATTACCCTCCAAAAGAGATGCCCACGGCCAGCAGTGGAGCTTGAGAGTGGCGGCGCTTTATGTGGTTCACAACCATCTCTAGATCTTCAGTGTAACTGGCACAATAAGCCCTGTGGGTCTGAGGGCACACGGGATCATTGGACAGAGGGGAGGCCATTGCCAGAGGGAGGAAAATGGAATCAGGAGGTGGGGGGGGGTAGAGAGGGAAGGTATGTAGGTAAAGCCCTGGGGCCTAGATCTTTACAGGGAGTGGGTACAGAGCCACGGTGAACAAGGAGTTTACTCACCAGCAGTTCTTCCCCACGGCAGCCTCGGTTATTAAATACAACGGCCCTGGGGCACACACAGGTATGTCAGCCAGGCCCTCCCCACAAGGCCCCCTTTCCATAATTGTCAGACCCCTGTCAAAGACACCCTAGAGTACGGCGTCAGGGTCAAGTGGACTTCTTCCCGGTACAAGTCTTCAGGCGCCCCTACTTCTGCGCTGTGCACACCCTTACCTGTACCCATCCCTCAAGGCTTGGTCAACCAGGTGCAAGATGTATGTCTCCTGGCTGTTGCCACTAATGCCAGGAAGCAGCAGCACAATAGGCTGAGTGGTGGGGTCAGGGCAGTAATTGTTGTTGGGCTGCTCAGCCCAGTCTAGCAGGAACTGGCCCCCATCTGTGGTTTGGAGGACTTCACTGGGGTTTGGGAGAGAGGAGCACACAACAAACCTATTAGAAATTTGATACAAAGGCTCACCTCCTGCCTCACCCACACACAAATCCTGCAGCTTACATCAGCAGCATTTGAAGACAGGCTTTCTGTGCAACATACTTGGAGTTTCACATTTACCCATCTGTCACTTCTTACCTCCAGTAAGAGACCAGCGGCTGAGACTGCATGAAGACACGAAAGATGGTTTGCAGCCGTCCCTCAAAACACCATAGTGTGGGGTAGAAAGTCTCCACAGTGAGGGAACAGTGTTGCTTCAGGAAGCTCAGAAACTGGGGCCCGGTCACCAGGTGAGGCCTCTGTAATCACACAGTACAATCTGCCTCACTCCCCTGATTTTTGCTCCAAGACAGCCACCCGATGCCAGAGGGTAAGTGACATCCCTTCCCAGACCCTTCCCAGACGGAGGCTGCATTGTCAGAAGAGTGAGATATTCAGCACAGCTCAGCCTGGGGTGGCCAGCTCACCTCTGCTAACAGCTAGAGCCACAAAAACTCCCAGTTCTGGAGTGTCACCTTTCTAGAATTGACTGAGTACTGCTTCCCCTACTCAGCCTGTCCCTGCCTCAGGGTCATCTAGGAGGGGACAGGTTACAGAAACAGTGCCTGGAGGAAGGCTTGAGTTCTGGGCAAGGGCTGAAGAAATGCAGCACCATCCAATCCGGGAGCTTTGCCTTGCAGGTGAGTCATCCGAACTGTCACCTTCCTGCGACTCTGGCTTCTGATATGAGTACCCCACTGTCAGCATATTCCTACTGCTCCCTAATGTGGGCTCACTGCTGAAGGGCTTTCTACCAGGGTGCCTTGTTTTTTCCTACATGTGGGGCCCTGCTGTTAGATCATGCTCTATAGGAGGACTATCTCTAATGTGAACAGACTTTTCTTCATGCCAACTAAGGGAAAGGTAACAGCGATGGGGTAACAGGAACAGGTGAGGTCAGTGGGCACCAAGCCTGGACTTTGAACTCTGCTTGCTTCTGAAAGAGGGACTAGATGAGAGGTATGCAAGTCAGAGGGCCACAGGCTCAAGAAAAGAAATTACATTTCCAAGGAACTTGAGGACCAGATTCTTATCTTTTCTTCCTGAAACTCCAAAGGAGCTGGGCAAATAACAGAGGCCAAGTTAATAATGTGACTGCTGGGTGATGTGCCCTGGACCCTGACCCTTGCTTCCTGGGATGTCAGCATGTGTGCTACATGCAGTTACTGGGCTAAGCCCAGCCTTAGGCGAGATACAAGTGACAAAATTGTGACTATTACAGGTCAACTAGTTTGCCCAAAGTCACACAGAAAGGCAAGCAAAAAGCAAGGCAAAATTAATAATTATATTACCACTAATCCTTGTAGAAAAATGTCTTGTGTGCTCATTGTGCTCTAGGCTTTGTGCTGAGCACATCCTCCATCTGTGAGACAGGTTCTATGATCCCTCAGTGTGAAAGGGTTTGAATGTTGAATAACTTGTTGAAGGGCATGATGGGTCCCATAGCTTGTGTGCGACAGAGCTGAAGATTCAAACCCAGGTCTGACTCGTGCTGTCCCATTTAGTCACCTGCACTTTGTTGCCTCCTAACTGCCAAGATGTCGAGGTCCTCTCAGTTTATTAAAATTTTGGATCAGTAGCATATAACAAGGCTAATGAATTAGTGCCTAGGTTTGATTGATGTGAGCTACCTTCATGTACCTCTAGCAAAGTGTTTGCTGACTCACTCCTGAGAATGAATTAGTAAGACACTATTGGCTTCTGTGGATAAATGAGTATTAATCCATGGCCATGTTGGACAGCCCAGATTCCATGTCCTCAGGGCCTCCAGAATAGTACTTTTCCTGGATTTTAGCCAGTATATGGAAGTCAAGAAAAGGTTTGGTGAATAAAGTGGCAGCAGATCTGGCTTCCGTATGGCTGTTGCAACCAAAGGACAATGTTAGTTCAGGACAGGTCTGGTCTAAAATGACTGACTCCAAATTTGATGTGTAAGGTGAGGCTTACAGAGTATTGTTAGACTTGGATTTTTAAACTTTATTCAGGGAGAATTTTTATTTAGATGATGGAAACTGAACTCAAACTAAGCACATACTGTACCACTGTGCTATATCCCAAGCCCTGCCTTAATTTATAAACCATACCAATGTAGAAAGCTTTGAAAATATAGAAAAGTCTAGGTAACACTGAAATCTCCTATAGGTCTTATAAAAATCTTTTGGTACTAGGGATTGAATCCAGGATCTCTTACATGCTAAGCATGTGCTCTACCACTGAGCCACACCCTCCCCTGCCCAAACTTTTTTTTTTTTTTTTTTGACAGGTCTTCGAACTCGGGTCCTTCCGCTTGCAAGGCAGGCG